GTACTGTAGGGTAAGTACTGGACCGCAAGATCGGCTGGAACCTCCAGGTTGTTAGTTCAAACGCTCAGCTGCGCCTTGGAAAACCTTATGCAGGGTCACTGAGTGGGAATCGTCTCGATGGCACGTAACTACAATATTCAAAATAATGTCAGATGGAAACATCAGATGCAGAAATAGCCCAGTCAGAATGCTAAATGACCGCCCAAATTCTGCAGACGAGAGAGTCACAGAGGTACATGATTTTCCGCTTCATTTCTACAACAAACACCATGACACCTTCATACGGAACATTGCTGTTGACGCTGTTGTTAAGCGCTGTGGAGGCCGGTCTGACTCAGAACAACCCTGTATATGTTTCCGAGTCTTGAAATCTTCATGGGAGCAGAAAACTTCATCTTTCCCCCTCAGAGAGCTGATAGGCTCAATCCACGAACTTTGTGATTGGAAGTCCAGTGCTTATATGGAGTCACTGTGTTCCCACTTCATGAAGATAGAAACGCGTACAGTTTTCTAAACCTTAGTTGGAAACCTCATCAGAAAATTAGTTGTTTTAAGAAACCTGTATCAGTCATTTGTAGATTGGAAAGATTCTTTCATTTAGGTTGGGTGGGATGCCTGTATTGAAACATCAGTTATTGGCCTTGTTGGAAACATAATTGTAATTTCAACCACAACAGCAGTGCTTTTTAAAAAGTGTTTATTGTGAAGTGAGTGATGGTTTACATGGGAGAACATCAGCCTTACTCTCATCCCATCATACTCACTGCAATGACTACTGCCCCCTCCATGTAGCATCGTTCAACAGCATTTGCTTCCATTCCCTTTGTTGTTTGTTTTGAATGTACACTGAAGCACTCAGAAATATACAAGCATTCAAACAACCAAAGGGCACACTCTGCACGCCTGCTCGCCCCCAGCCGCCAGCACACAGTCCTCTCCCTCCCTGAGTCTAGAGCCCCCAGCTACTCCATCTCTCCACATCCTCGTCTCAACAGCAATATTTTTTTTAATGTAAAGAGTTGGATTCAGTTTTGTGTTGAGAAGGGGTAGGTGAGTATCGTATCCAAATGTTGGAGATGCTATCAGTTGGAAGAATTTGGTATATCAAAAGCCCGGGTGTTGTATGATAATTGCAGTGCAAATTCAGTGCATAAGAACATAAAACTTTTAAGATTTTTGTTGGTAAATGAATGTGACTATTATTTTGACTTTTAAAGTTCACTTAGAGCAGTTTAAAATATGAATGAAAGTTAGGGTTTAGATTGTGAATAGAAACGAACATTTGTTTTATTTTTGTAAAAAGCAAATTAAATAGAACAACTATTAGGATAACTTTAGTCATAGGGCAAGGATAGTGAAATGGATACATTCCCCCCACCCCCGTCTTTTCTTCAGTCTTTTCTCTGATTTAGTTTTTTGAAGGGAGACAATACAACTTTTAAAGCTTTTTTCTACATAAAGACGTTGCCTCCCAAAGCTGAAAGAACGTTTACTGTCTTATGAACAAATGCGTCATGTTAATGTCATATTAGTTCTAGTTACCAGTTTTGCCTTCTCTTGCAAAAATGATGAACATGATAAAAGTGCACACTTTATTTGTGTGTGTGTATATATATATATGTGTGTGTATATATATGTGTGTGTATGTATATACATATATACACACATATATACATATATGCACATACACACACACACACACACACACATATATATATATATATATATATATATATATATATATATCACTGGACTGTCAGTGTTTCAAACTCACCAGCCCTGGCTTGACGGCACTTAACAACAGTGTGTGTGTATGTATGTGTGTATATATTCATATTCATGTTGTTGAGTGCCATCGAGTCAGTTCTGACTCACAGCCACCCGGCACAGGTTTTCTGAGGAGCAAATGGTGGGTTTGAACCACCAACCTTGTGGCTAGCAGCAGTCTAGTGCTTATTCTACAGGGCCATACCAAGAACCCTTCTTAAAGTGATTTTAAGAATTTGCATTCAAGGGAGGCTTCAAAAACTTTGTGGGAAAGTAGAATGGGAAGATAATGAAATTTTTCTACAAACTTTTGGAAGCTCCTTAATACATAGAAATGTCCAATTTAGTGCAGCTATTATTGTAAAGATTTTATCTTGAAGAGCGTGCCCTAGGTGAAGTCTTACTTTTCCATTGTGACTAAGCCTTGTCTGTCTGGTAGTTGGTCGTCTTGGACTGCACGGAATCCCTGCTCTGTGTCCCGAGAGCTCTTCTTGCCTGCCCCTGGACTCCCCTTGCTTTACAAGTGACTCCTTTGCCATTTAGATCCTTTTACCTTTTCTCGCATCCCAAATACAGCTAAAAACCAAAACAAACCAGAACCGAGTCCTGATTCCCAAACCACCCACTCCAGGGAGTGGACACGCCCACCTGAAATCGGGACAAAGAGGAGGGAGGAGGATGTTAGGCCCACATTTCCCCTTGTTGCTAAGTGCCCTGGAGTTGGTTCTGACTCACAGCAACCCTGTCTAGGGTTTCCCAAGGAGCAGCTGGTGGGTTTGAACTGCCGACCTTGTGGTTAGCAGGCCAGTGCCCATCCGTAAGTGCCACACCAGGATTTCTTATTTCTCTTTGGAAATTGAAGTAACCTGCTCTGGAGGGTTTGGGGTGCCTGTGGTTACTTTCCTTTTTAAAAATTACAATTGAGTTTGTCAGCTTAGTTACACTGATGTGCGTAGCTTCTATTATAGTTAAAACCAGTGTGAATGCTCTTTTTAATTTGACATTTTATGTTTGATTTGTTGGGGAGGGTAGTCTGGGCTTCCTCTTCATCCTTTATCAGGTGTCTTGAAATTAGGCTGTGAAATTCATTTAAAATAGATTTAAGTTACAGAAACTCCGTTTCGAAATCCGATGGTCTGCTGGTCATTACGTGCTATGGTGTCTGTTCAGACTCCTAGCGACCCTGTATAGGGTTTCCAAGAAGTGGGCGGTAAGTCTGAACCACCAGCCTCGTGGGTCAGAATGACCTAGCAGTCGAGTGCTTATCCCACAGAACCACAGCAGGACTCCTGGTCACTGTGCCTGTTGCTGTTATGTGCCGTGGAGTCGGTTCCGACCCATAGTGACCCTGCACAGGGTTTCCGAGGCTGTAAATCTTTACGGGAGCAGAAAGCCTCATCTTTCTTCCACGGAACAGCTGGTAGTTTCGAACGGCTGACCTTGTGGTTTGCAGCCCAATTCGTAACCACTACACTACCAGCACTCCTTTGGTGACTGTGCCTAGTAGGGTGTAAATGAAATGGAAACGGAATCAGAGCTCTTTCTCAAGAATCTACTGCAAAAATGGCCATCTTCAGGTACGGTTGTCCTTGTCTGATTTCACTGTCCCAGGACCCTGATTGCTTTTGTCTGGACTCTGTTCTTCTCAGCTGGATTCAGGGGTAGCTGGTGCCCTGGCTTACCTCAGAAGCAGCTGGGATCCTATCAGTAGCCCTGTGTTCTGTAGTAACAAGGGATTGTTAAATCAGTAAGATGCACAGGCTAGCTTTCCGCGCTGAAATATCAGAGGTGGCCCTGTGTTTAAAGACCGTGCCCTCGTCTAGGCAAGTCCCTGGAAATATGTTAGCCTTGTCTTGATTTATATTTTTCAGAATTTCATGTTTTAGATTCGACTCTAGAGAGATTCCTTGTTTAGAGCCAGTGTATTTTCAGTAAGCCCGGACCTAACAGGTGTTTTGTATTTTACCACTTCAGTTACTGTAGCTGCCTCATAACTAGTAAGATCCATTGTTGCAGAGTTAAAAATAGGTTAGCCTGCCAACTTGCCACCTTCCCAGCCTAATATTTTGAACTCTAACTTGGCAGTTTACTGTGTCTCAATCAAATGGGGAAGTTGTCCTCGGGCTGCATGGTAATTAGCCGATCTTCCTTCTGTCTGTCATGGGAAGTGCTTCTTTTTCATCCTAGTGATCAGTTTTAAAATGACATCTAAGTGATTGAATTCCTTAATGATGATGATAGTATGTTTCAAGCCTTGTTCATATGTACACATAAAATACAGGCTGGACTTAGAATACACTAAATGATCTCTTTCCATGATTTCTCCTTGTTTCCCTCATGGAAGCTGAGTTTAAATGATGTTAATGTTATTAACTTTAATTGAGTCTTTATTATACCTTGGCATGTAGAATTAAAATGGTCTGCTGTTCAGAAAAATATTAAGGATGTACAGCAGTTCCACTTGAATGAAACACCGGCTGTTATAAAATTCTGATACACAGTCTTAAGATGTTCTAGTAGATTTTCAGGCCAGACATCTGTGCAGCCTGAACATAAGAAAACCTTACGGCATAGTCCAACTCGGAAAGAAAAACACATTCCATTATCGTCTTAGAGCAAACTCATCAGTAACAGTGGCATGAAACAGTGCAGGCAGGGGCTGGGGACTCTGTTTTGTTTTTCTTCTGTCTTGATTCCTCCTAGGTTTGTCTTGTTTTTATGTGTTTCTCTTGCCATTCCTCTGTTACTTAAGTACATGGCACCTTATTATGGGGTGTGTGTGTGTGTGTGTGTGATAACTGTTTGTAAAGAAAGGGAAGTGATGCCCTTGGGAATAAAGGCGTGGCCTTTACCTGGTACAAGTGGTTTCAACATACTGAGTTTGAAACTTGTTGCTCAGTTTTGAGGTCACCTCAACCTCCTGGTTCTCTAAACTAGGTTCATTGGGATGGTTGCTAGAATTCCTACTTGAAATTAAGGGCACATTTTACCTGCCTCTGGGGTGCAAATTCTGCAAATGAAGTGATTGAAGTCCTCAAATTTGATGATCTGTTTTTCTGCCAGAAATTGAATACCGTACCCCAGAAAACCAAACTGCTTGTAAAGCTTTTCATGAAATCTAGAGCTCAGATGTGTGCCATGAAGGAAGTGCTGTGGAGTGATACCTAGTAGAGTCAGATGTCTGTCTCTAGACTTGAAAGTGTGTTAACTTGCTATATTTGATTTTTAAATAGACACCAAATCCTACTGCCAGCGAGTTTATTCCTAAAGGAGGATCGACCTCCACGCTGAGTAACGTGTCCCAGTCCAGTATGTCTGCGTTTTCTCAAGTCTCTCACCCAGCCCTGGGAAGCCCCGCCACCGCTGGATTAGCACCAGGTAAGTGGAGTACCTGGTTCCAGTGAGTTCAGATCCCAAACCTGTAAGCACCATCACACTTGTTTTAATTTAGCACAGTTACGACACTGTCCACCTGAACGATTCCCATTCTGAACACATGATGGATTTTAGGTGCTAAAAAACCTAAAGCAAAATTTCAGTATGTGGGAACGTTAACACGTAAGGAACATTAAACGCACAAAGGTAAATTTAAAGTGGAAAATGCTTATTGTGGGGGACACAAACTACTCTGGAAACTGGTGTTCCCCTTTCCTAACACCTGGGACAGTGCTGTGTTGAACAGAAACATCGGGGAAGGCATCCAAAATCCCGAGCCCACCTTTCCTCAGCGTTAAATTCTAGAAGAGTCATGTAAGACGCCACCGTGCACGTCATTAATGTGCTGCTCTGTAGCTGTGAGTACTACAGGTCAAGAAGTACAAAGCAGTAGAGGTCAGTCTGTGGGGAAGCAGTCCTCCCCAGTCACAGTTCTCAGGGTGACTCCTCATTGCAGAAGCACATGAGCAAATGCACTTACTCCAGGGGACCCAAGACATAGTTCACAGTGACCTTTTGAGAGATGATTGAGTCCTTGGAAAAAGTCCTCTCTTTCTTCTTAAAAACTCTGGCAAATTTTTTATTCTGCTCCACAACACACACCTTGTTTTAATAGAAAAATCCTAAAAATTTCCTGGGAAATTTGCGTTCCCCACCCCCATTGCCATGTATCTGGTATAGAAAGGTAAGTTATGTAAAGCCGAGTTGAATCCAGATTCAGTGCCAAGCAGGTTGTAAACTAGCTGGGCTGCGCACACAGTTTACGTTTCTGGAACCTGTACTAGAGAGCCAGTACTCGGTCTTTGGCTGTTTCGAGAAACAGAAACAAAACAAATACCACACACGGGAAAAGAACGTGACAAGCTTTAGGCCTGGACCTAGGGCATGCTTGTGTGCCTGCCTTGGTTTGCCAAGCAAGTGTAGGAAAAGACCTGAGTCGGGGAGGACGTGGTTGGGAAACAAATGCAGCAGAAGGCAGGCTCCACACTATTTGAGTAGAAAATACAGTAGGTACGGCTGTCTCCGGGGCTCAAATGAGTAAGCTGGAGTGGACGGTGCTAACTCCATCCAGGGCCACCTTAGGAAGAAGATGGAGGATGATAACATGGACAGGGCTTCCACTTCACAGCTGAAGGATCACGTGTCCTCGGAGCCTCCCTCCCCTGAGCCCACACCTACCTTTTCTTGTAGTTTGACTCTTTTCAGGTTCCGTTTCAAATTCGTGTACATTTCCCCTTCTGAGCAGTGTCAGAATTTAACAGCCTCTCTTGAAAGGTACTCACCTGGGTGATGTCAGTAGTAGCCACATATCAGCCATACATCTAACATGTCCTGGAGGGTAATGTCCAGACTTCTGAGCCCTGTATAGCTTTCCTGATACACACGGTCCTTCCTACAGCTAGCGTGCGTGTCAATGCACACACATCAGTTTCCTGGGAGCTGTGTGTGTTATGCGTAGGTGCATGCTATTTGTGTGGGTGAGTTTTATGTGAAAAAGTACTTACATGTTTATTTACAGAGCACCCACAGTAAAGTAAGGTCCATATGGTACCAATTTATTTTGGCCTAGCAGCCCATCCTCCCTTGTTTGAAATGATTTGTAGTGGGAGATACTCTGTTCAGAGAACTTGAATAGACAGGCTCAGGCTTCCCTTTTTTTATAATCCCCTCCATGTACCATCAGTCAAGGTATTTACGTCTATTCCCTTTTTTTCTTGATGTACACATGCAAAACAGAAAATAGATTAATTCATTGAAATTTCCAAAGGGCACAGCTTGCTTGCAAGCCAGCCTCCTGGCCGCTGGGCATGCAGCCTTGAGAAAAGTCCACGGGGCTAGAGTCCTCTGTCTATGCCTTCGCCTCTGCTGTCACTACTTTGTGGGTTAGGACCCCTCACTCTGCTCATGTGCTTTCTTCTTGCTGGTCCTAGGGCCCTCTCTTCCTGAAATGGAAGATGAACTACTCCACCCTTTTAGTTACGTACATCTTCTACTTATACAAGTTGTGACCATCACAATTAGTTCTGATAACAATTATACAAAATCAAATCATAAAATCCTCATTCTCCCCTTTCACCAGACCCATCTGGAAAAGAGAAAAACTTTTTTGTGGGATGCTGCCTTACCCCACTTGTTCTTAAGCTAAGCACACTCGTGAAAGCTTGTAAACCAACCACTTTGTGCCTTTGTAGCCGCCCCCCCCTCCCCCATTGCCAATATCTAAGTTGCCTGTCTCTATCAATCCAGTGTATTGAGGAGACAAACTTGATCCTTGATATGAAGAATCCTTCCCTTATTTAGAATTTCGAGCAACTATATCCATAAAGCAAAGATCCAGTTCATCAAATTGTAGCAATTTACGCTTGCTCACAGTATCAAACTCATTTATCTTCATCTGGTTGAGTTCTGGTTACTAACCATCTAAGCTAGGTCAAATGGGTACTGTCTGCAAGTTTGGGAGTCCTTGCACACTTCCCCCGACTTCAGGTCACTTCCCCCGACTTCAGGTCACTTCACTCTCCGAGGCCAGTGTCCATGGACTTCCAAGTTCACACATCCTCTCTAAACTTCAGACCCATCAGCTCTTGTGCTGCTCTCTCTCACCTCAAGGTCAATGGGTGTCTATGGAACATGGCCAAACTCAGCCCATCTTCATTGCTGCATTTCCCCCACTTCCACTCGGGACGGTCACCAGTGAGCATACAAGACTGCTTATGTATTTCCTTTGAGTTTCAACCTTACAGGGAGGAGGGATTACCTGGTGGGCTGACTTCTCTTGCCTTGTTGGCTCCAAGGCAAACAGCTTACTGGCTATTCTGCCAGTCCAACAGTCTGCTGTGTTTCTGCTGGTCTTTCTTTCAAAAAGTATCTCCTATTCCTCTAGCGTTCCGGGTTGCTCTGCGTGGCTTTTCAGGAGGGAGTATCCCACCTCAGAAGGTTCTGGGTGGGGCTCAGGATCCCACCTAAGGCCTATGCTACACAAAGGCTTAACGAAAAGCCTGTTTTCCCAGGCACTTTTAGCTAATCCAGTCAGTTATAGGCTGAAGTTTATAAGCTCTCTGTGATCCTGTTTCCCAATACCCCTTTCTATCCCACTTACATGTCTATTTCACAGTAGTAAGCAGGGGAAACCAATATCCACAAGACAGTCAAGCCTCTTCCCATTATTTCCCTTTCATTACCCATTCCGACTCTTTCTGGGTCCCTGTGTCCCAGAGTTCTGTTGTTCAAAGGTTATGCATCGATCACTATTTACCTCTGTCCCACTGAGCCCATGCAGACATCCCTAAGTCCGCCCGTCTTCCTTGTTCATCTGCTCCCCCCGTCACCTGAGCTGTCATGTGTTTACCTCCTAACCTGTGAATTACTGACCCCTGCCTCCCACTTCTGAGAAGCACCAAATAATTTTTCTTTTTGATTAGAAAGCTTTTCTTAAGCTTTTACAATAGCGGTCTTATGCAATACTTGTCCTTGTGTGCCTGGCTAATTTTACTTAGCATTATGACCTCAAGGTTCATCCATGTTGTAAGGTGTTTTGCAGCTTCCTTGTTGTTCTTCAAGGTAGCATACTATTCCATTGTGTGTATGTACCAAAGTTTATGTATCCGTTCTTCCATTGATGGGCACCTTACTTAGGCTGTCTCCATCTTTTTGCTATTATGAATAGTGCTGAGATAAACATAGTATTTTTTTGTGGATATATACCAAGTAGAGGAATTGCTGGATCATAAAGTATTTCTATTTCTAACTTTCTAAGGCAGCACCATACTGTTTTCCAGACTGGTTGAATCATTTTACTTACCCACCAGCAATGTCCACAGGTCCCAGTCTCACCACATCCTCGCCAATATTTATTCTCCTCTGTTTTTCTGAACTTCGCTGTTACTGCTGGTGAGGGATGGTATCTCGTTGTTTTGATTTGCATACCGTAGTGGTTACGAATTGGGCTGCGAATCACAAGGTCAGCAGTTGGAAACTACCAGCTGTTCCGTGGGAGAAAGATGAGGCTTTCTGCTCCTATAAAGATTTACAGCCTTGGAAACCCACTCCACGGCACATAACCACCACCACCAAAGGCTAATGATCGCGAACATTTATTCATATGTTTGTTGGCTTCCTGAATGGCTTCCTTGGTGTGAAGTGTCTGTTTGTGTGCTGTGCCCATTTTGAAATTGTGTTATTTGTCTTTTTCTCATAGAGATGTAGCTGCTGCTCCTGGTAAGTGCCATTGAATTGGTTCCAACTCATAGCAACCCTGTGTAGGGTTTCTGAGGAGCGGCTAGTGAGCTTGAACCGCTGACCTTCTGGTTCAAAGCAACCTTGCAGTCCAGTGCATTAACTCACAGTGCCACACTCTTTTGGTGAAATCTTTTGATGCACATAATTTTCTAATTTCTAGTATGTCTCAGTTACCTATTTTGTCTTCTATTGTTTGTGCGGTTTTTGTTGTTTTTTTTTTGTTTTTTGCGGTGTTTGATAGTCTATGTGTGCCAAATATTTGAGCCATTAAGTTTGTCCCTATCTTTTCATTGATGATCTGGGATTTACACTTAGATCTTTAATCCATGTTGAGTTAGTTTTTGTCTTAACTCGTCTTGTTTCATTCTTTTGGAAATCAGTTTCCAATTTTGCTAACACCATTTGTTGTACGAGACTGTCTCGTCCTCATTTAATGTATGTTAGCCCTTTTCCAAGAACATTTCACTATCTGTGAATGGATTCACTTCTGGATTCTCAATTCTGTTCCATTGATCTGTGTATCTTTTACTGGACCAATACCAGGCTGTTTGGCTGCTGTGGCTGTGTAGTAAATTTTGAAATCAGAGAGTGAGAGGCCTCTAAATTTGTTCTAAAGCACTGCTTTGCTTATCCGAGGCCTGTTTCCTTCCATATAAAGTTTGTGATCATTTTTTTCCATCTTGTTAAAGAAAGTTGTTGGAATC